ACAAAAAATAAAACAATGTTTCATGTACTAACAGGAGCTTGCAATGGTTCCTCAACACAAATAACAACAACCTGTCAAAAAGCGATGTGCTTGCATGTCTTGATAAAATTCAAACTGGATGCATACAGGAAAGCCCATTAAAACAAAGAGCCAGTGAGTTAAACATAATGTCCAATGAGAATTTTGCATCGGTGGTTCTAGCTTACTTGCATATGTATAAAATAATGTAATGAATACTTATTATATGACTAAAAAGCCAAATTTATAAATATTAAAACAAAACAAATTACAAACACACCATAGTCAATTTTTTTTTAAACAGGAGAAAAAACAATGAAGGATATATATTCATATATATATACTTTATGCATATAGAAAGGCAGATAAAGTGCATTCTGAATACTCTGTGCAAAAGAGTAGAAGTTATTTAACATTAACAAATTGCTGCATAGAGATTCATGCTTCAAATATACAACTCTCTGCTAGAATAAGTAAACTTTGGTGACATAGGTTTAAAACAAAAAATGTCTTTTCTGTCCATGTTTACTACTTTATAGGAGGAGGAGGAGGTTAGCTACAGGATCTATAGCCGCATGGCTAGTGCAGCCACAAATTGTTTTCATTTTGCCCACCAACAGAAAAACTGCAACATCAGATAGTAATCAAACCAATGTTTCCTGAATCCAGTGATTTTAACTATTTGGCCAGTTGCTCCTTGGTTACATAAATATATGTGCAATACATTCGGGCGTATGTTCTACATACATGATCACACATACAAAACCTTTGAATTAAAAATGTAATGGCACGCAAGTATTGCAAAAGAGTTTATGAAAATATGAAAACTGGGGTGGGGGGAGTAGAAAGAGAAATGACTGATACCGCATGAACATTCGCAGACAAAGGTTGCAAATACAAGTCAATAAAATACAACAATAAATGCAACAAGTAGGATTAGTATCAATAATATGGTAAAGCAGTAAATATATAAACAAAGAAATCACATTTTAATAGAGAAAAACAACTGTTGCAACATACTGTAAACAATCTGCATCCACAGTTCCATTGCAAAACAAAGATTAACAAATTAAAAAGCAAATTGTTTCACAATTTCTCTTCTGATTTTGTTTTCCTTCCTTCTGCCCCCCCCCCCCTTTTCCGAGCTAGTTTCACAATTTCTTCTATGCTTTTGTCTTCCTTCCTTCTGTTTCCCCCCTGCGAGCTAGTACCTCAAAGTTTGACCAGCCTGAGATGACAAAATCTCAGTCTGGATAACAAGCTAGCACGGTGAACCCTAGATACCATGTTCAACCTCTAAAGTAGTTATAACTGAGGCACACACAATTACAACATCAGCCTGGTGTGACCTGTAGTGCAGTGTTGGTAAGGATCTGATATGATCTCTAGTTCTCTTAAATTATTCCACCTTGCCCCATGTGGGTTCCGGGGCCCCATTCTGGAAGAAAAAGAACAGTCTCTGTTCTTCTAACAAGCATGTCATAAAAGGCAACTAATTAGAGGTGTTTCCTTCAAAGTAAGATAGCATCTGCCTGAGAAACAAGGAACCAACAGTCTGCACACAAATAATCTAGATTTGTTAAATGCATGTGTATGCAAAATTCACGTTTTGGAACCAGACTAAAGTACAGAAGTGGGTGAACAACTAGAACTATCTGATGACCTCTCCCTGTGTGGGTTCCTGGACCCCACGTTGTTGTTTTTTTTAACTCACTTCGACCCCTCTCCCAGCCCCCCCCCCCCCCCCCCCAACAATGGTTGCATCCAATAAATTTTAGAAATAACCTAGAGATTGCACATTATAATATTGGCACATGTGGCAAATAAAACTAGAAATCTGACTTTGAAAAGAAAACAGAAAATCATGAATACAACTGCATTAACAACAAACAAACAAATCACAGAACAGTGAGGCAGAAAATGGGCAAATGCTGATGGCAAATAAAAAGCGATGTTAAAAAAATTTAGTTTTAGTAGCATCAGAAATGGTAGAGCTCCTATATTTTGTTAGCGCTTCATTATTAGGTCAACAGACCAATCAAAAGTTGCCATATGTGCTGCAATATACCCACATCAAGGAGATTCATACCCATATCAAAGGGATTCAACACTAAAATCCACAAGACTGTACATCAACATCAAAGGAATTCAATATCCACATCATTGGGATTTCATACCTACATTAAAGGGACTCAATACCCACTCAATACCAACATTAAAGGGACTCAATACCTACATCAAAGAGATTCAATATCCACAATATAAATGAAATACCCACATTAAAGGGACTAAATACCTAGACCAGAGGGATTTAATACCTACATCAAAGAGATTCGATACATGCATTAAAGGGATTTTAATACCTAAAATAATGGAATTCTGAGGCACTAATGAGGGGGTGGGCAACCTTTTTTTTTCTGTACACGGGCCAAATTTAGAATTACCAGCCTCATGATACAGAACAAAAATCTATTATAAACATAACAACCAGATCTCCACGTAACACAATCTTTTTGTAGAATAACATAATCAATTAATTAATTATCATGTTGTGCCATCACATGTTCAAAGGCCAGATTACATAGTGTTACACCAGCATCATGGGCCAATAAAAATTGGCTGACAGGCCAGTTTGCCCACTCCTGCTTTAATGTAACAAAGTAAACACCACATTAAACCTCTTCCCACCTTTATGTTTCAGCTGACTCATTTTTGTCTCAGGATCTGGTCGCAGGTAAATATTGTGATGAACAAGAAAATTATGTCAACATGATTTGTACTAATGAAACCAGTTTACACAGAAAACCCCTCCAATGCTATTTTAAGTAAATTTAGTCATTCCTGGTGCTTCTAAATATGTTTGCAGGCACAAGTGATAACAATGGTTATTAGCTGGGTGTCTTCTGAACAGGCCATTTAGCCAAGTTGAAAAAGTGACTCTCTGGGAATTGGACCAAACCAGAAGCATCGGTTCTGTGGATACTCAGGACAACAAAGTTGAGAGAAGGATCGTGTGACTGCTCACTAACACAAGGGACAGTCCTATTAACGATTATATGTGAACCAGAACTGATTGCTTGCATTTGAAGAGATAATCCACAATCCTTGAGCAGGTCAGGAAACAAGAAGCCTGGAAACTTTACGGCAATACAAAAGTTGGGAAAGGAGAGTCGGAAGGAAACCAAGAGATAAGGAGTTTAGCATCAGACTATGGAAGAACATATGTATCACAAATTCATGCCTCCATTCATCAATCACATGTGAATCTCTATTCTTTAACAGTCAGACACTGCAGGATGAGATGCTGGATTATGTAACAGATTACACAAGATACAAATTCTACGCTTACATACCCATCAAATAGTTAAGCTTACAATTTTACAAATTTTGACTTCTGTGGGGAAATATATAAAAATCACAAAAAATATATCTTATATAAAAGAAAATGCATTTTTCCACGGTAACTAACCAAAGTGGATTAACATATGGATTCAAAAATGTAAATATGAAATTTCTCCTTCAGGAACTATATAAATCTTCGGAATTCAAAACATTTGCTATGTACAGGTATCACAAGACGAGAATGCATATTTGGCTGTAAACTACATGTGTAGTGAAACAAAGAGGACCAAAATATAGGGAGTGAATCTGCTTCAGAATCAGACCATTTGCTTAATACACAAAAATATTTGTGTACGTTTTCTTAACGTTTACACACATAAAATCCAGTGTCCTCCATGCTGTTGGAGCATCGGCCTTAAAATGTAGACCTCTGTGTCCAGTTTGTGAACTTTGAGTTCATTCATATCAACTCTTTCTATATTTTGCCATAACCTACAGCTGATCCTATCTCTTTCCTATAGTGTTCATCTCTTTCTCCATAATTCTCTTTTTGTGGTCTCCCTGTATCTCTTTTGACCAGCGGGTTCCAGTGTAAAGACATTCTAGTTATGCTATTATTATTCCCACCCCCCCCTTTTCAACCCCAAATGCATATCATATCTAGCTCTAGTGTCTGTAACTCATATCCCAGATCCTAAATTCAGAACCCATCTTTCATCTTGTCTCCCCCTGCCTCAGTACACTCAGCATTAATTCAGACACCAATGTCCGTACCAACATCTAGATTAGTCATCAGGGTATACCTGTATATTTTTTATACAGTCAACATCTTAGAAACCTTTAATCAATTTTAACAGTTAAACTGACAGGTATGAATGCATGCCACACATTCAGAACCTACCATCAACTTTCTTTCATTGATGTAATGATAATGTCACAGTTAGAAATACTAATGTTTTCACTAACACCACAGGTTAAATTAGTCTCAAGAATAGTCCTGGATGCTGACACAACCAACTCTTTAAAAAAAAAGTAACATTAATTTTTAAAAACATGCCATGTTTCAATGCAAGTCTCATACTAAGAAGCCACCAGCCACATTGCCGCCGCCTCCTGTTTCAATGCACTCAGCATCACCATTATTACAAATACCAAAACTGGCAACAGCACCATAAACTTACATTAGTCTCCAGTATGTTCATCATTTTAAAACATACAATTAATTTCAAAAACATAACACAACATTTGTAAAGACATGCTTCACGTTCAGAAGCCACTATCCGCATTGCTGCCCCCCCTCCCAATTTTCAATGCATTCAGGAAAACCATCTGTCGCGAGAGGCAAGGAACCAACAGTTGTCACACATATATGCCAGATATGTAAAATAGATGTGCACACAAAAACCCAAGTTCTAGAATAGAATTAAAGTCCACAAATGGACAAACAACCAGAACTTTTTTGCTGGATTTAACAGCTGGTAAATGCTAAGATTACTACAGATACCAATGCTTGCACCAACACTATAGCTTACACTAGTCTCCAGTGTAGGCCTGTATATACAAGCAAAGTCTCAAAACAGATAATTATTTAGAGGGGAAAAAAAAAAAAGAAAAATAACGTATAAATTCATGTCTGACATTCAGAAGCCTCCATCCACATCACCTCCACCTGCTTCAATGCACTCAGCAACACCACTACTACACATCCCAATGTCCGCACCAACGCCATATCCTACATTAGTCTCAAACAGATCGGAGGAGTAATGTGAGTAACCCCCACTACTAGCATCATGCCCCTCATTACAGTTCTCTATGGTAAAACTGGTATTGGCACCAAAGCCTTCACTACCACCCCCACCACCACAACTTCCTTCATTTTCATTATAGCCATTTGAAGCAAACCCCCCAAAATCTGCATTGTAGTCGTTCATAAGATTCCCAACGTCATCCCCGTAGGAGTCCCACACACTCTTTCCTGCATCATTGGTGTTGTTTACTTCATTTTCATGAATACCAACGTTATCGTCACCTTCAATGTTGTAGAATTCATCGTAATAATTGTCCACATCGTTTTCAAAAGCCCCCTCGTCATTTTGATCAGTGCCGTTCAGGAAGTCTTCATGTATTTTGTCACTGTCAAAACTCTGGTTATGAATGCACAGGTCGTCTTGCCTGTTACAACTGTCAGGCCGCATTTCAGGATCAATCTCACCAATTTCCAGGTCAGCTTCATCACTGTCATCCTCCCCGTCACCAAATAACCCTGTCCGGCTGTCTGCATCCAGGTTATATCCTTCCACTTCAAAGACTCCCTCACTCTGTCGATCAGACTCTTCTTCCTCTTCCTCACTCCCGCCATCATGTGGGTCACTGTCTTTACTGTCACCTTTAGGCAATTTAGAGACTTTCTCTGGACTAACCACATCGTTTGCCTTATCGGTATCATCAACTGTAAGTAGTAGAGCCGTTCTGTCTGTTATTGCTGATAAATCTACATCAGTGTCTTTGAAAGAATCAGCTGCTTTGTCATCGGCGCTGTCTTCACAGTCTGTGTCTGTCTGCTCTTTTATAACAGACAAAAGCCCCCCAACCACATGAGTATTTTCCGTAGTACCAACATTACAATTACTGCCACCTGTCTGCCAGTCATTCTTCCACCCAGTGTTCCCTTCAGACTCGTGCATAATTGCTGCAGGACCTCCATTTGACTCATACTGACTTCTTTGGCTTACCTGCTTGTAACCACCGCTATCTCCGTAGCGTCTCTTCTTCTTGAACAAGTTTCTAATAGCATGATTGCAAGGTGTGGCTATCAGCACTCCAGCAGCCAACAGAAGGGCTATTTCCTCAGATCCACCCAGTTTAGGTACGGGTTCTATCTCTGGTGTAACAGTGTCTACCTTTGGAGCCCAGTTCACTGGCCGAGGCTGGCATAAGACATGGATCAAAGCCACACTGAAAATCAGGGCCAGATTTTCAGCGATTTCTCCTCTGTCAGAGTTAATCTCAATAAAACCACTATCAAATTCAACAACACAGTCACCGATTTCAAATTTAGAGGTGGCCAGGGAGTACAAACGATCAAATGAAACATAGTGCCATCTGTTGTTCGGCAGGTGAAAAAATCTGACTTCAAGGTGACCTTCACTGCATGATCCTGAAAATGAGAGAGGAAACAAATTACACATAAACACACATTTTAAACTCAGCAGCAAGAAACTCAAATATATATTTCTCAATATAGAAAATACCCCCCCCCCCCTTAATTTTCTGGCGTTACGCACTACTGGCACTTTTTTTAAGCACTAATGTAATAGGCCATTTTGTGCAATAAATCCATGTCACTGGAGGTAAGGAAAATAATTCTTGAAAGCTTTACAGAGCCAGTTTTAATATACGGCTGTGAAGCCATGACGATTAATAAACGAACTGAACAATATCTCGAGGCTGCACATATGTGGTTTTGCACAAGAATCCTTAGAATTCTTTGGACAGCTAAGAAGAGTATAACCTAAATGTTTTGTTAGAGGCAGGTGCTCGGAGACAACTTATCAGAAACATAATGAAAAAGTAATTATTTTTTGGTCATGTTGTGACCATTGGAAATATCTGTGGAAAAAGACAGCGTGGGAAGATTCTTGACAGCCTCTTGTCATGGCATAGAGGGGTGTCAACACACGAACTGATACACGCAGCTGCGGATCACAGATTGTGGAGAGGCATGATCGCCCACAGCAGTCAGTAAGGCACTTGATGATGAATGTAAGAGGCACTCTTTAGGGGGCAGCACCTTTCTAAAGACACTTTTTGGTGAGTACTGGCCCTTTTCATCAAGGAAAAAAAAACCTTGCCTTCAACAAATTTATGTGCTGACAAATCTAAATGCATTGACAAAAGATCATCAAGAATCTACTCAAAGTCTTACTCAACCTGACCGTCCATATATAACATTATTCTCCAGTTACTCTTTTAATAACTTGGCCAAATAATTATGACTGCTTCTGTCTGATATCTGTGAAAAGTTGTCTTTGCATCTTAGCCTCTTTCAAAACATTCAGCTTGCTCAATTTGTCTGTCCAAGGAATTGTAAGTATTCTTCTCAGAACCACATCTCTGTAGCTTCAAAGAAAATTCTGTGTGTGTGTGTGCTTGTCAATGATTCACCACTATATGATTCAACTCTTCCTATGTAACATGCAAGAATTCTTTTAAAACCTCCAATGGTAACAATTTATTTGGTATGAAAAAAACTACAAACATTCATTAACTGGTGCTTGTGCAGAATAGGAATTAAATGGTATGATAGAATCATTAATGTAGAGCTTTAGGAGAGAACTAAACTAGTTCCAGTGGACCAAGAAGTGAAGAAAAGACGCAGGCATTGGATAGGACACATGTTGAGAAAGCGTGAAAAAATATAACTAGAATGTCTTTGTACTGGAACCCACAGAGGCATAGAAATTTAAAAATATGGGGAGGACATGGAGAAAGCTGCATGTGATAGTGAAGGATAGAACAACCTGGCGCAAGTTGGTTGAGAGCTTATCCTCTAACTGGGGGGTTAGAAGGTACAAGTAGAAGAAAAATACAACAATGAAATAAAGAAAAATAAAATAATTTGGCAATTAATTCTTATTTTCGCACCTTTCCGTCCAGGAACTTTTCTTTGAATACCTTCCCACCAGCCAACAGCTACCCCCCAGTCGCCTTTATGGTTTTTTATAAGCACAGCTCTCTGACCTTCCTTTGGGTTTAGAGTTATGCACTTTTTCGTGTCACTGACCTACAAAATTAGAATAAAAATGCATACTTATAAGTGTACAATCTTACATGTAAGTTTGCATGCACATAGTATAACAGATGGAAATGGTGACAAATCCAACATTTATTGGTTGAAAATAAAATACAGCAAAGGTTACAAACATGATAAACATTGTACCATAAAATGATTCACTTTTGTGTTAACAACACTCTTAGAACGTTCTTGTCATGGATAACTTGTACAAATCAGTATGTAGTAGTAGTAGTACTTTTACCCCACCAGGACATCACACAACTGATAAACACCCAATGACACAAAGTGCCACCATGCGGATGGGGATCACCCATGGAGAGGTCCCGGAAACTGTGTTTAGCCATTAGGCCATATTTATGGCCCCTGGCAAGAGCCAGAGTGGGGCTTAAAAATAACTAAAAATTACATCCAACAAGGGGATGGCTGAGATTAGTATAGGATAACAAATCAATATTTTAACAACTTCCCTTTCTGGAAAGTCTGTGCCAAATAAATAACTATTGGAACTTTCCCTTCTGGAAAACCTACAAGGTCCGACAATTAAGTAATGAGACTAATTCCATAAAAATTAAAATAATCAAGTTGAAGATATAAAACGTATTTTATTCAAAGTAAGCCCCTTTATGCACTGATAAAGCAAGTGGCATGATCTAACAAACACTGGAACAACCTCTGTTGTTCTTTTGTTGTTATGGCCCTTAAAGTCAATGTTAAGGCTTCACAGAAGCGTCTTTTCAAGGGTAACTTTAATTTTGGGAACAGAAAATAAATCACAGGGAGACAAATCTGGGGAATAGGGTGGCTGGTTGAGAACACACACTTATTTTGGGGCCAAAATTCCTGTACAACTACCGCCTGGTGAGCTGGTGCAGTGCCATGAAGAAGGAAAAAGCTGCCAGGTGTTGAATACTCGAGTCAGACTCAGAGAATCCCTTTCAACAGACGTTTCAAAATACTTAAATAAACTGTGGCTGTGACGGTCTGTCCCTCTGGAAAAAATTCTTTGTGAATAACTACTTTGCTGTCATAGAAGCACACCAACATTGTCTTCACTTTTGCCTTTTGAAGATGGATTTGTTTGCCTTTTGGTGCCCTAATATGGACTGAAAGTATATAGTTCTATCATCCAGCTAGTGAGCTGAGTGTATGTTACAACACTGTGGGCCGCTGATTTATTTTGAAATGCTTTTGGACTGTGCCAAATGTCATTTGGATTTTGAACTGCAGATTCAGGAAATGCCATAGAACTGATGGTGCCTTATGCGATCAACTGCATGTGCAACCACTGATTTGTTGTAAATTCTGCTTACATTGATGATGATCTGCAATTCTAGAGCAGGACTGTTTGTGTTAACCCTTCTGACAGCTGCCTTATGCATTTACAATATATGTATACTTTTGGCTTTGCCAAGACTGCAGTCTGTGTTCATGTTGTCACAAGCGGCAGCAGTGGGCCATGTGTGTGGTTTTTGTAGGTACAGGAACGTAACAACTATGTGGTGACTCGTTTGATGTGAAGTTGGAACTGCCATTACTAGATTTATTTATAAACAGTACAACATAACTGTAGTTTACCATTTCAGGAAGTGGCAGCTGGTCTCCCACGACCAGATGAGCTACGGACACCATCTTTTCCCCAAAGAACACATGCACTGCTGACATCAGCAGAGGTTCGCTGTGAATCATCCGGACTGTGAAGACAACTTTCTTGGTATGATTCAGCAACCTGCAACCCAAAAACACGGTGGCTGCACTAGGTCTTATCTCAGATGGCTTGATCTCTCTACAGAGCAGTTGGGTGCCTGCCTAGAGTGTCCCCAAAAGCATGAACTCCATGGCTATATTAAAGCCCCCCCCCCCTCTTTCCCACAGAGAAATTTCACCCTTGAACCAAACAGTGCAGTCCCAAAACAAGCAGGTAGCATTCATGCACCACAGGCATCAGAACCTGGGAATTTGGACACTGTGGGGCACCCCTTCCAATATATATATATATATATATATATATATACACATGTAGTTAAACAAGGCCCTTCCATCCACTGGTGTTGATACAGACACACTAATAGTTATTATTGTTAATTATATTAGGCTAAAGGCACCCCCCCCCCTCCCCCCAATTCCCCTCATGTTTTCTCTGCAACAGTGCCCCTGTTTACAGCTACACTGTAAAAACTCCCCTGGTGAGTTCATTTCTGTCAAGACATCTTCGTTACTATATGTATCCTTCCATGATGTTCCCTTCTTTTATCTCTAAAAACATATCTCCACAGCTTCCAATCATTTTTCTACTAATCAGCTGCCTATAATTCAATTCTGTTCAGCAGGACTGGTTTTATATTTAGCTCCTGGGAACTCTCACTGACAAAGCCAGACTGTGTGGAATATTCTTCATTTTGTGAAATGCTGCTTTTGTTTCAGCTATTCTACATTTAACTTGACAGAAGTACAGCAAGCTAATAAAACCACAGACTAGGACAGACAAAAATATGCATACACCAGTTTTGAATCTTTCAGCATCATCTGATTTAACTTTTTTTTTTGGTATTTAATGGTGTTAATTTCAAGCAACTAAAATTTAAATTTAAGAAATTAAAATAAAAACACTATGGGGCAAAAGTCAGACCAACACTTATGATAGAATGAGTTAATGTAACAATTGTATGAGATGAAACCAAAATTTACTGTTTTTGGACTTCTTCTTCTTCTGCCTTTCTATCCCCCAATGGAGCACAGGCCCTTAACCAACTCACGCCAAGTCGTTCTATCCTTCGCCATTGCATGGAGCTCTCCCCATGTCCTCCCAATCTTTCTAACCTCATTCTCCAGCTCTCTTTTCCATATGTTTTTTGGCCTTCCTTTATTCCTATGCCCCTGTGGGTTCCAATGCAAAGACATTCTAGTTATGCTGTTCTCCTGTTTTCTCAGTGTGTGCCCTACCCAACGCCAGCGTCTTTTCCTCACTTTCTGATCCACTGGAGCCTGTTTAGTTCTCTCCCAAAGTTCTACATTAGTTATTCTATCATACCATTTTATTCCATCTATTCTGCGCAGGCAACAGTTAATGAATGTCTGTAATTTATTAGTAATTGCCTTGGTTGTTCTCCATGTTTCCGCCCCATACAATAGTACTGATTTGACATTAGAATTAAAAATTTTTAGTTTAGTATTTCTTTTAATTTCTTTTGACCTCCACAAATTCCCTAGCGCTATGAAAGCCCCTCTTGCCTTTTGTATTCTTATTTTAATATCTCTATCAGTTCCTCCATCTTTATCTACATTACTGCCTAAATAGGTGTACGACTCCACGTCTTGGAGTGGGGTGCCATTAAGAGAAACCACATTACTATTTGCCTGATTTATTCTTATTATCTTTGTCTTTCCTTTATGGATTTTCAGACCAAGCTGCTGTGATCTCGCATTAAGTATATTTAATTTATCTTGTATCTGATTCCGTGAATGGGTCAGAAGAGCAATATCATCAGCGAAGTCCAGATCATCAAGCTGTTTTGTAGGGGTCCATGAGGGAAAGCTAACAGATGCTTTTGTTTTTTGACTAACCAAAGAAAAATATTGATTTGAAAGGTACTTCTCAGTGGGGGGGTTACAGGGCCCCATTTTAGGAAAAAAGAATAACCCTCCTAATAAGCATATTACAATATATATGTACAAAGTGACAAATTTAAGGTGATTCCTTTGATGTCGGAGTGCATAAGCCTGAGAGGCGACAAACCAGCAGTCTTATACAAATAAGCTAGATCTGTAAAATGGAAGTGATTGACAAATCCTAAGTTCTGGAACAAGACTAAAATCCAGAAGTGGTTGAACTATAACTTTTTGCTGGAGTTTACAGCTGGTGAATGTGAAGAATGTAAAAAAAACAAAAACATTATGTGACAGAAGTAGTCAGACTAACAATTTATGATAATATGGGTTAATGTAACAAATGTCTGAGATAAAACAGTTGGAGGAATTAACTGTTGTCGGACTAACCAATGAACATATGGTGCGTCAGACTAACAATTTGTAATAAATGGGTTCATGAAACAAATGTCTGAGATAAAACAGAGTTGGAAGTTTTCGGACTAACCAATGAACATATTGTGTCTTGAATGATACTGAACGACTAAGTCCGACTATCAAGAATGGGCCAGCTACTGACAGAAGAGAAATAATCAGTGCCAAAAGACTAAGTAAATGCTGTGCGATTTTTTTATTTCGTGGAAAATGATTCTTCACTGTATAGACTGCATACCCTGGCTGTACCCATTGGAGCAGGGAGACAAGAAAACCATGCAGGAGCCATCCATTGTCACATCAGCCAGAAGAGAATGGGAATTTTCCTAACAACCCTCAGAAATGCTCATGAGGAGATTAAATGAATAATGAACAATGAATGAGCTTATGCAGCTACTTACCTGTGGGAAGCAACCGAGCAGACACTAACTACCCCTGCAGGTAGCCGTGGCAGGGGGATAGGACCCCACAGAGACTCCTTATCCTCTGGCATTATACAGCTTTGGTAATCCCCTGGTTCAAGTCTGAGCACACAAGGGCCTAAAGATGGGGCAGAGCAGCTCCAAGCCTGAACAATCATAATAATTCTGTAGTTGCCTATGGTTATAAAATCTGATAACAGACACAAGGGAGGTAAAAGGAAAACAAGCAAGTAGCAGAATATGATGCTTGAATCATATTTCTGTTGTCCAATATGCACTTGATGCGGTCAACTTACGCAAGCCCCATATTTACTTAGCCGGAATTACTTTACCTGGTAGCCCTTTTGACTGGGTCGATCTGGGAGCCAAAGTAATTTTCTTGTCAAAAATCTGACTAGATTGCAGATTCTAACCCAAGATTTTCGGCCAGCAGGTGGGACCAGGGTATGACAACAATTAGTAACAAAAGAACTGTAGTAAAACCTCAGTAACATAAACATTCACTTAAGAAAAACACACTTAACAGCTCCATCAGGGATGCATTATTATTATTTGTCCCTAGTTATAACAAAGTTTTAAAAGGCAAACTATTTTTGGTCCTTTGGAATTCATGTTAACTCTTTCCATCCCAAACAATGCACCATGTGTGACTGTGATTCATGTTTATCAATCAACATGTTATGTATGTTTTTTCATCTTATGTTTAGTGGGGGACTTTAAAGAACTTTGACAATACATCTGTTTCCTATAAGGCTTGTATCTCTGAGATGAAATGAGCAAAGAATTAAAAACAGACCCTGAAATGGGAAAGAAGTGATCTAAAAAAAAGGAGGTCATTCAAGAGAAACATTAAGAACATTATTATTAAAGGCAACAAAAAATCTGGGCTGGACTGCCATGTCAGAAATTGAGAGATTTGCATGGAATAAAATAAAGTGGAGGAATCACATGCAAGCCCTATCTGACATCTAACGGTACACAAAGAATGATAAAGATGATAATAAAAGTTGTATATTTGTCACACCTGGAAGTAGTATATCTATGAGTTTAGTACAGCCATTCTTAACTCTCTCCGACATTAGCTAGGACCTTGTGAGACCAAAAGTGTTAATCAGGTTTTACTGTTTAAATATTACATGTGGCAAAGCTACACCCAATGTATGTTGAGTGGTGATGTTACTGTATGTGTTGGGGTGAGAGGGGATAGACCTACTACCCCCCCCCCCCCTCCCGTCTCCCCCCACACACAAAAAACATGTCGTAAACATTGACAAATTTTGAGATATTCTTTTTAAAGTCGTAGTGCATCTGCCTGAGAAGTGAGGAACCAACAGTCTGCATACAAATAAGCTAGATCTGCAAAACAGATGAGCAAGCAAAACTCAAGTTCTGATATTGATAAGAGGAAGTTCCCTGTGTGGGTTCCGATGCCACACTGTGGGGAAACACTGACCCCTAACAAGCATGTCATAAGGGTTGAGTATTTAGGGTTTCCTTCAAAGTCGGAGTTGAGTGTGTCTGCCAGAGAGACGAAAAACCAACACTATGTTCACAAAAAGTGAAATATGTAAAACTGATGTGCATGCAAAACTCAGGTTCTGGGACAAGACTTAGAAGTCCAGAAGTGGAAAAAAAAAAAAAACCAGAACTTTCTGCCAGAGTTTACAGCTGTTGAACGCGAAGAAGAAGAAAAAGAGGAGAGTCCAAAAGTTCTTGACTGACTTTCATACATATAGAAAATATTGTAAAGACAGAACAGAATGAAAGAATAGACTGTGAGCCCTCTGTGATGTATAAATTATACCATAGGATGATGATAATGATGAACACACAAATAATCAGCTCACCAGCCCTATGGACAAACTGTCTCCGCACTCAAATTCATCATTAGCCGTTAATCCTTTACCAGTTAGGGGCTGAATCTTCTTCAACAGATCAATCCTGCCCTCTCCGACAACATCGCTGCTCCCAAGACACAGCCTCCCAGACTTCTGCTGAAGGTTCACAATGATTTTGTCATTGTAGCGAGTATCAAACTGGAAATGGATGTTAATCCTGTGATCTTCCAATGTACGAGAGGTTCCCTTGATGGTAGCGATGTTTTCCGTAACGTAAAGTGAGCGGCTGAAATTCTGATATCCTGTATTGTAGCAAAGCTTGAGTTTATATGATTTTCCTGTTGGAAGCCCAGTTATACGAATTCTCTCAAGAAACACATCAGCTTGCTTGCTGCAAACCTTGAAGATCTCTTCCCTGCTCATTGCATTTAGTTTAGAATTTGGTGGCTCTCCGCGATACATCGCTCCATAATATGAAAACTTTTCATTAAATGCCTTACGCCAAAGATTTCGTGTCTTGGCCTCGTACAGCGATAGTTTTGAACCAGGTGAGCGGTTACTGACAGCATCATCATGGGGAAGCAAACAGCCAAGATAGCTCTGTGTATCATCCTTGTAGAAATGTGGATGAAGCATGTGTGTGTGCCACATGAGATCAGTGTCACAGCATGGTACTAGAAACATCCCAGGGTTGTTTAATTTCAAATACAAGAATTTCTTGTAACGCAATATTGCACTATTTAAGAACTTCTCATCTCTGTAGTGAGGAAGACTGACTTGATAATTGAACGTCCTTTGTCTACAAATAGCTGATGCTAGATTATAAGTCAAGGCCGAAACAAATTCGCAGTCAAACCATGGAGTTACAGCATCACATGCAGAAAAAGGCACATCTGTGTACTCGTTTCGCCATAGTCGTTCAGAATCTTTGATCAGATCTTTACGCTTAGCCCTGTCTATTATATGATGGTCGATGACTTTCCCCACAATATTCTTGCAGTCGGTGTTGTAAGCTTCTGGGCACAACATGTGGCAATGCCACACCCATTCTATATCAAGTGGTGCTGGTAAGAGTCTCCCGGGGTGCTTTGCAACCAAAGGCAGCCAATATCTTTCATATCGCTGAATTGCACATTCAACTAACGGCCCTTCATAAAGTTCTGGTCTAGCGGAAATTTCACTCAGAAAATCTAATAAAAATCTGGTAGTTTCTAGCAGATCCACAGAAACGGGAACTTCATTTGCATCAAAGGCTGCTGAGCAAGCAGAGCTAACACTTCCATGCCGGAGAGACATTTTTACTGTATCTTAACGTCTGTGATAAGAACTGCTAATTTAAGACCATTTTGCTAGCAAGAACAACAGAAAATTAATCTCATAATGAATAACATTTCTGCACCAGTGGTTTCTTTGAAAACACTATAATAATGACATAAATTAATACATTTTATCAATATACTACTGAGACTTCAGAACACACAGACGCCCAAGAAAAAATCAATCGACTCCAGAATTTCTCAGAACAAATTGGACTCCAAATTAACACCGCAAAAACAAAAATTCTAGACCTTACCAACAGTTCAGTTGATATCACGCTGAACAACAACAGCCTTGAAAAAGTCAACAGTTTCACTTATCTAGGGAGCAAGATGTCATCTACAGGAGATACCGCACCAGAAATATCATTTAGAATAGCACTGGCATCTAGTGCCTTCAATAAACTGTCTAACATCTGGAAATCAAAGACACTTAGCAAACACACAAAACTCAAGATCTTCAATTCTTGTGTGATTCCAGTACTAACCTATGGATGCGAGAGTTGGAAATCAACGAAAACTCTAGACACAAAATTAGACAGTTTTGAAAAATAAATGCCTTAGAAGAATACTAAATTTCAAATGGTCAGATTTCCGAACCAATACACAAATAAGGCAAGAATCCAGGCAAGAGTATGTGTCTAATTTTATACGAAAACGCCGCTGGAACTATGTCGGCCACGTCCTTAGAATGGATAAATCAAGACTTCCTTACCAAGCCCTCATTTGGACACCACAGGGGAAAAGATCTCGTGGAAGACCAAGGGAAACCCTACGTAGAACTATCATCAGGGAAGGCTCGCTCATGGGCCACTCAAACATCCAAGACCTACAACGGATTGCAACGGACCGCCGTGCATGGAGAGTCACGACCTCTGCCCTATGTGCCGCACTCGACACAAGAGGAAAGACTAACTAACTAACTACTGAGAAAGGTGTACTAAACTTGTAAATAATCCTGAAATTCACATAAAAATAATTACCAATGCTCCAATTAAATAACCCTGACAATCAGTGTCTTCTATAAAATAATTAAGCCAAGAAACATCAAAAGCAAACACAATCTAACCCCTAACAAAACACAACTGCATATAGTAACAACCTCCTGCTGGTTAAGGGTTAAGTTCAACTTGTTCTACACTACAGAATCCTCATGTGAGAGAAAAGTAGGAGATAATTGATTTTTCGTTATCAGTAATGTTTACTTAATACTACAATGCAATCTCCATAAGATCTGTCATTGTCTGTGAAAGCTTGGACGATCCATCCCCTAAGAGATACTGGTGGCTATCATATGAACGGCGTCAGGGTAGTTTTCAAATGGTCATCCATCGATATCTCAAAAACACTTTTAAATGGAATATTTTGATGTTAAGCACACTCCACTTATTTATTATATATAATGATAATACAAATACGTATTATTATATTATATGGTGGAATGTAGGTGGAAGTTTTAATTATTCGGCTATAAACAAGATAGGGAAAAAAACAACAACTTGATGTTGGATTGTTGGGTGAGCTTTTTAAAATTAATAAACAATTACATTACAACCAAAGATAACTCGGTAACTCTAAGTAACTGAAAAGTCCAAATCCAACGTTGGACTCAAACCTGCGGCGCTGCCATTTTTAACTAGAATAAAAGAACATATAATGAATTTATATCCGAATGAAATTAGTTGAACCTGGCATATTTACGCAGCTGCAGACGACTGAAAAATCGCGGACAGTAAGTTATTACAACGTTTGCTATGCAATTACTCATTTACGATGTTGACACCCTCCCTTGTCCTTCCCCTCCAACGAAAGACCCAAAACTTCCGGTACGGGATTCATGGCGGCCACGGCGCGCCTACTGTTGAACATGTTTCTGTGGCAGTGGTTCCCAACCTTGTTGACTTCGGGAGTTTGAATCTCTCTCTATCTCTCTCTATCTCTCTCTCTCTCTCTCTCTCTCTCTCTCTCTCTCTCTCTCTCTCTCTCTCTCCTCCCCCCCCCTTTTTTTAAAAGGGTTCATTAGTTGCAAATTGGAGGATTTTACTTCTGAAATGTGGTCTTGTACTGTACTAACGTCAGTTTCGCGTGTCTGCTGGTTCTCTAGGGAGCTCGAAAATCAATACAGATCGAATTAATTCGTTCGCCCGTCCCATAAACATTGAAAAGGAGGGGGGGGGGGGAAGGTTTATGGGGTTAATGTGTGGCAAACATATAAAAGATACACAGAATAACTTTACCTTTAGGTTTGTTTGTTGCTGGCTCAGATAGAGGGTAGAGAAGGAGGAAGAGGACGACAATTTCGAAGGATATTCTCATTCTGTAATTACGTCGGACAACTGTGAAGGAATTTATGTTGTTTTGCCCCCTCCTGTTTATATCGTGGAGAGTTGTTGGATTACTGACATTTGTCTTTTTTGATAATTTTCCGAAAATGGGACATCATATTGTCATTTAACATGTCCATTGCTTTGCTGTTCACAGTTTTATTAGAGTGATGATTCTCAGTGATAACCTGCACTTCACTCCACTTGCTACACATTTCTCAAATCTCAGCACTTGAAACATGTACTGCTTCTTCTTATTTCGTTCCTGAGTGCTCCTTCTGCACACAAATGATGCTGTTCCAAAGCCGAAAACATGACACCACAGCCGTGCTTGTGCGTTTGTGCATCGAGGGATTGTTCACCGGTCGAGTTAAAATTTGCTCGGAAGTTGCGTTCGTGGACAATTTGTTCGTGATTTGGGCGTTCGTGAATCAATTTGTTCGTGACTAGGGCGTTCGTGGACCAGTTTGTTCGTGACCACGGCGTTCGTGAACTCTAGCTACCACTGTATTTTAAAAACTTCGAATTTTCTAGAAAAGCCAGTCTATTCTCAACGCCAATGCATACGATATTGTTAAAACTTGGCCGTACACAACCGCGTCTTTCAAAATTCAATATTCAAACCACTGGCTTTAAAGTAGATTTTACATTGTTGATGATAGCAATAATAAGGTCCATAAAATAACATGTTAAGAATTTGTCTGTGTGTGTGTACGTGCGCGCGCGTAATTTTTTTTATTGCAGGTTCAATTGCTGATAATCAGGGCCGGATTTATTTGTAATTGATGAGACCTGAGCTACATAAAGTCACGTGGTCCCTAACATTTACAATTATACCAGGTAATTTCAGAAAACATTAAAACGTAAATGCCTTTTAAATGTATTCATTCATTCACTACATTCGTTGTCCTGTCGTGCCATTATATGACAAATAGAGCTCGAAGTCTATTCCTTCATTCCCTTATATCCTGTACAATTAGTTCAATATCATGGATGGAATCCAGTCCAGCAGCTTTGGCCTCTCTCAACAACGTTCGTATTAGGGTTTCTTTTGGGCGTCCTCGCCTCCTGAATCCCTTTATTTCCAATTTTAATACCTGTTGGGAGATTCTCTGCTGGTTTCTTCTCAGGATATGTCCCCAGTGTAGGCCTGTTATCTCTGTCTTATAACTGTTGGTGCTAGTGGCTGCCCACACAAAATATAATATAAGGTTGATTTTTTTTAAAGTATTCAGAAACCATAAGTTGTAAACCCTTTGGCTCTGTACAATAGATATCGCAACCCCTCGGCCTTGATTCCATTATAGGTACCGTTAATCTGGAAGAAATGTGGCTTTTCTGCCTACCCCCGGGAGTGAACCCTGACCACAAGGAGTTCGTCACCCGGCTGCCGCGAAAGTCAGGCTTAATCAACTACGCTAGAGAGCCGGGCCTATAAGGTTGATAGAATTATAGTGTTTAATTTTCAGTGAAAAAAAAAAGTAAACAATGTGTCTGTAAAATCATAGAATTATTGTATAATCCTCCTAAAAACTCTATTTAAAAACTGTGCGAACAAAAGATTCGGAGTTTGTTGAGGCCCCTGAAGAATGTGATGCCCTATTCTGCAGCTTAGTTAGCTTATGCCTAAATCCAGCACGGGTGATAACTGCCAGCTGATGTCAGGTTCTGCAGTAAATCGGCTTCGGTATTGTATTGTATTCGTATATGTAAAGGCGAAGAACCCCGCTTCACAGAGATATGTATTTGAGAGACGTAGCAATACTACTGCGGCCACAGAGCACCCGTGAAAAGCGCACCTAGCCTTCGTCTGGGAACCGTTGTAAACCGCAGCTCTATCGTCATCTTCTTTAATTGCTGCTTCTTCCTCTCCAATAATGTAGCGTCATTTAGTCACGGGTTTCCTTTCGGTGTGTCTGGCTTTCACATTTTCCTTGTGATTGCTGTCCAATATCTGCTTTGTTTATGTTACCACCTTTTGTTAACATTCCCTGTCTTCTCCGCAGTTTAAGTTGGTAATGGTTCTCAGGTGGCTTCCGTCTGGAAATGTGCTAATACCTTGTGCAGCATGCGCAGGGGTGTATTTTGGGAATTGATACGGTTTAGATAGGTCTTGATTCTTGTTTGTTCTGTTTGAAAATGGAACACTTGGCTGGTTTTTTTTTTTTTTTGCGTTTGGCTTTCTCTTTTCTCTCCCCCCGTCCTCCTCCTTCTCATCTTCATTATAATCCTCATTCTCCTTGTCATCCGTATCCGTTTTCTTTTTCTTACTCTCCTCATTATCCACCTCCTCTTCTCCTCATCTGTTTCTTCCTCTCCTTCGTATCTTCCACCTCCTCTTTCTCCTCCTTCTTCATGTCATTCTAATTCATCCTACCTTCTTCTTCTTCTTCTTCTTCTTCTTCTTCTTCTTCTTCTTCTTCTTCTTCTTCTTCTTCTTCTTCTTCTTCTTCTTCTTCTTCTTCTTCTTCTTCTTCTTCTTCTTCTTCTTCCTCTTCTTCATCCTACTCTTCTTCTTCTTGTGTCAATTTTCCCCTGCCCATCTTCTCCTGTACCTCCATTTTTTAAAAATCGCTATCCCTCAATGTATTGGCTTGGAAAAGACGGCGATGGAAGGTGCAGTTTGTGGAAGGCGAGGCAGAGGTTGACCACCGAG